TTATCTGTAGCAGAATTGGGAAGACTAGAAATGTTCTCTATTTGAAACTAGCTCCCAAGTATGGGAGAGGCAGAGGCAACTGGTGCTGGAGAGACAGACCCAGGGCAGATGCGTGAAGGGTCAGTTTGTCCAAAGGAAACGGTAAAACCAGATGACAACGTCCCCAAAGCTGCTGACAGTGGGACCAGACACAAGGTAATAAAGAATGAGGGCCCAGTAGGCGTGGCTCGGTAGTTGAGCATCAACCTATGAACCAGGAGGTCACGGTTTGATTCCTGGTCAGCACACATGCCCTGGTTGTGGGCTCCATCACCAGTGTGGGGTGTGCAGGAGGCAGCCCATCAATGATTCTCTCTCATCAATAATGTTTCTATCTCTCTCCCTCACCCTTCCTCTCTGAAATCAATAAAAATATATTTTTTAAAAGAATGAGGAATAAGCTAGTATTTATGTGCAGGAATTACTGTAGATACTTAATATACATGTTTTCATTTAATTCCTGCATCAATCTTAATAAGAATAGTATTACGAGCCTTGGACTTTTCTAATGTGGAAAATAAGACTCCCCAAAGGTTATGCAGCTAGCAAGAGGAACAGGTGAGATTTGATCCCAGTTCTGTATGACTTCACAGTCCATGTCTTTCCTCCAGATCAATGATTTTCAACCTTTTTCATCTCATGGCACACAAAAACTAATTACTAAAATTCTGTGGCACACCAAAAAAAGCTATTATATTTTTTTCCAATTTGACAAAAAAAAGGTATAATTTTGATTCATTCACACCAGATGGCTGTTGTTGTATTGGCTGTTGTCATTTTTTTATTTGACAGTCTCAGAGAAAAGAGGTCAGTGCCCCTGACTAAATAGTCAAGTATTGTATGTTTTAAAAATTCTCGTGGCCTGCCCGTGCACTACAGCACCCCGATTGAAAACCGCTGCTCCAGATACTGGAGACAGCACCATCTGGAATCCAGGGGATAATGAACTCAAGAATGAGAAGCCTCCACTGGCATCAAGGAAGTCTGTGAATGGCTACAACGGCCATGTCACTGGACTGGAGGTTGTGGGTAGGGTGACCTTCCCTGAGCAAGAAGACTGCCAAGGACAAAATTAGGTACTCGGCCTAAGTTGTCTCGGATATAGCAAAAGAATGACCTAATCACAGGGACTAGGACAGAGGCCAGGAATTCAAAGTACAATTCAAGGAAGGATGACTTGATGCTGAGCCGCTGAAGTACTTCCTGCCAAGATTCGTGCAACATGGGAGAATGGTAAAGAGGAACCTTGGGATTATAGCTGATCAGAGGCCTGGAGAGCAACCTGCCAGGTGGGAGAGGGGGACAGAAGGACAGGAGGACAACACGAAGGACTCCAGGGGTTAAGAAATGACATAACTGATCAAGTGCTTAAAATGGTCTTTTTAACAATAGGGGGAAAATAATGAGTGTGACAGATATATTAGAGCTTTGCGGGGGGAGGGGAATTAATAAATAGCACTTAGAAAACTAAGCAAATAAAAAATAAGTTTATTTTAACTTTAGGACAAACTAAAGTTGTAAGAGAAAGGAAAAATCAAAGAATACTATGGGGTTCTGTAGTGAATCCTGTGTAAACTCTGGCTATTTTTTTTTTTTACTTGTATTACTGGAGGCCTGGTGCACAAGATTCCTGCACTGGGGGGGGGGGGGGGTCCTTTAGCCCAGCCTGCACCCTCTCGAAATCAGGGCACCTCGGGGGATGTCCAACTGACAGCTTAGGCCCGCTCCGCGTGGGGCAGCGGGCCTAAGCCATCAGTCAGACATCCTTAGCACTGCTGTGGAGGTGGGAGAGGCTCTCGCCACCACCGCTGCGCTTGCCAGCCGTGAGCCCGCCTCAGGGCTTCTGGCTGAGCGGCACACCCCCTATGGGAGTGCACTGACCACCAGGGAGCAGCTCCTGTATTGAGTGTTTGCCCCCTGGTGGTCAGTGCATGTCATAGTGACTGGTCATTCCGCGTTCAGTTGATTTACATATTAGCCTTTTATTGTATTGGATAACTGTACTTAGGATGGAAAATGGAGAATGGGGGCAGATGAGGTGAAAGAGTTTTAATGCCCTCAATGGCAATAACAGGAAGTCAATAGGTGATGTCCAAAACTGATAAATTGAGAAATAACCATGTAAGCATTTTATTTAGAAACTAGTGGCTCAGTGCACAAATTCATGCACATTGAAAGGAAATTAATTATAAGAAATATTTTAATATCACTATTTGCCCTTTATAATAGAAGTGTCAACCAAATTCACCATCGACAATGACAGATCGAAACACACACGTGTGATTGGCGCCAACGAGAGCTTTATATGTCAACTTAGCCTTTTATAAATTTAGAACAAACTTGCTTAATTAGACCTGTTTTCTGATTCAGCTAAACCTTTTCTAGCCCCTAACTTCTCTTTCGGGTAATTGTGGGCAACACGGCAGTAAATATCAACATGAAAGAGATTATTATTGTAGATCACGCAGGGAGAACAAAGGGTAAAATATTTAACTGCAGCAGTGTTTGACTATACTCTGCGCAGTGAGAAAACCTGAAGATTTTCAAGGTTCACCATTTCTTACTTCTTTTCAGTCAGGTCAAGTTTCTAAGCTTTCTAAATCTCCATTTTCCAGCTAATGAAAAGAAAACAGGATTCCACCGAGTCTCCTATCTACCTATTCCAGGACTTCTGTGAGGATTAAATGAGATGAAGAACAGGAAAACGCTTTACAGACATTTGGTTAAAGTGTAAAGTGTTTCCACCTGGCTATAAAGCAAGTCGTGTTTCTGGAAGGAGGCTAGTCGTTGCTAGGGAGAGGAAGCCAGGCTTGCTATGTGACGTCATTATCCGGACAGAGGGAAGGACACTTAGCATGTTAGCCTTTTATATAGCTAGATATGGAGTCAAATAGCAGAAAAGTGGCTAAAAGAGTTCAAAGTAGTTGCCAGTAGAGAATGGGTGTGGGTGGCATGGGGTGAAGGAGAGAGCAAAGGCGTAGTAATGTTAACAGAGGACTTTTTTTTTCATTGTAAGTCATGTTGTACTATTTGATTTATTACTTATATCCTTGTATTATTGTGACAAAATTGCTAAATTTTTTTTAAGCTGATGGAATTTGATTGATTGGAAGAGAGAAAAACCACACCAAAATTCATCGTGGGTCTTCCCAAGAAAGCTTCAAAGAAGCTTCAAGTCAACACATGTTCAGAAAATGGGACAATCACCAGGACAACTTATTAAAGAGCCTGTGAACCACACGGAGCAGGTGGACCCCCGCCTCTCTCCTCCCCAGACCCCCGCCTCTCTCCTCCCCAGACCCCTGCCTCTCTCCTCCCCAGACCCCCGCCTCTCTCCTCCCCAGAAGCAGAACTGCTGGGAGCAGTGACCTTGCCCCAGGCCAATAGTTGTCCAACTACTGGGCGAGCTTTCAGGCATGTTAAAACCCACATTGCCGAGCCCTACCCCAGAGTCTCAGAGAATCTGCATGTCTATCAGGTTCCCAGGTGATGCTGATGTTGCTGGTCCGGGAGGCACTGAGAACCACTCATCAAGGCTGAAGCCAGAACTGCTCTCTGCAGGAAATGAGCAACACACCTAAGGAGGGCTCTGAGTGAGGGTGCTGAAGGCTGAGAGAAACGCGGCAGGGCTCCAGGTAACGCAGGCCTACACACAGATGCCAGGAAGAAGACGGAAGAGAAGAAGGAGGAAAAGACAAGGACAGAAATACACCAAGCTGCTGTCCTCCCAGAATAAAGCCCTCTCACTTTAATCATTGAGAAGCTCCCCAATCTGCCTGCGCCCACATGCCTGACCCGGAGAATGCTGCTAAACACTCCTTCCCCAGTCACCTAAAGCCACAACCCAGGCTCCCATTCAGGGAAGAGCTGTCGACAAACTACAGCAGAAGCTCAAACCAGCTACTTACTGATAGACAGGACATATATTAGAAATGTGAAGGGACAGAGGCATGTGAGGAAAATCAACAGCATAAAAGGACTAAAATGAAAAACAAACACAAAAAGGAACAACTCACAGTGGAAGTGTAGTTCAGGCACATAAGAGAAATACAAATTTTTCTTAATTTTAATGAGTAGCCTCAGGAAAACTTGAGTGAAATTTTCAAGAAAACCAAGCTACTAGGGAAAAGGAGCCTTCATAGCTTCTTTCTTCCTTCCTTCCTTCCTTCCTTCCTTCCTTCCTTCCTTCCTTCCTTCCTTCCTTCCTTCCTTTCCTTCTTTCTTTTCTTTCTTTCTTTCTTTCTTTCTTTCTTTCTTTCTTTCTTTCTTTCTTTCTTTCTTTCTTTCTTTCTTTCAAATATATCTTTATTGATTTCAGAGAGGAAGGAAGTGGGAGAGATAGAAACATCAATGATGAGAGAGAATCATTGATCGGCTGCCTCCAGCACGCCCCTCTCCCCCCCCCTCCCCCGCCCCAAGGGATCAAGCCCACAACATGGGCATGTGCCCTTAACTGGAATCAAACCTGGGACCCTTCAGACTGCAGGCCAACGCTCTATCCAGTAAGCCAAACCAGCTAGGGCCATAGCTTCTTTAATAGGTCCTCACAGAGTCTGAGGAACCTAAAAAATATGACAGCCAAAGTAAAAAAAAAACAACAAAAAAAAAACACGTGAATGAGTGGAATAATGAATGAACAAAGCTAAAGGCCAAATTAGTGATCTGGAAGATAAACCTAAGGACAGCTTCCAGAACATTATGCAAAAAGACAAGGAGATAAAAGATATGTGAGGGAAATTGAGACATAGAAGATAAAGGAAGTTCAATATCCATAAAATTCAAGTGCCACAAAGAAAGAAAATAGAAAAGGGAAACAAATCAGATAAACAATAGAGGAAAAATTACCTAAGCTTAAGAATGAAATGAATGATTTCAGAGTGAAAAGGCCCACTGAATATCAAAGGAGAGCAATGTAATAAGACCCACAGCTAGGTGCGCATTGGTAAAAATCCAGAACAAAATTCAGATAAAAATATAATGTTTATGTAAATTGAAAGTTTACAGAAAGAGAGCATGTTGCCTACCAAGGAATAAGAATTCGTTGAGCTTCAGAATTATCAGCATTGCTAGATGCTTGAGTGTCTTTTAAGATGGACCAGCTTCATAATTTGCAGGGCTCGGTGAAAATGAAAGTGTGGGAATTCATGATCAAAATGATTCAGAATTTCAAGATGATGACAGCAGAACCTTAAACAGGCCCTTCTAAGCATGGGGTCTCTTGTTTTCTTCCATTTCCTTTGTTTCCAGGTCATTCTCATGCCACTTTCTTTCTTGGAGGGCACAAGTCTCATGCCAATGAAGGAAGCCCTGAGTCAAGTTCTGAGAAGCAGAGACCTTGAAACCTAACATTCTTTACTCAGCCAAACTGTCAATTAAGTAAAAGGGCAAACAGAGATGTTTGGAGCTTGTAAGAATTCAGGGGAAAAATGTAATTGACATCTACCCTACACGAGAGAAAGTATTTGAGTAAATTTAAAATAAAATAAAAAATAAAAACAGAACTTCCAGAAAAATGAACCAGGACTCCAAGAAATAAAGTGATTTGAAAAGCCAGACAGTGTTAGCTGAGAATGACCTAAAGTAAAGGGAGATAAGAAAATAGGAGATATATTAGATATTGATGCTTAAGTGAGTTTTCTTTAAGCTTCAAAGATTTAATGGCATTGGATTACATTCCTTCTCTAAAAAGCCAATCACTGTTGGTTCACAGGTGAATAATATTTAAATAATTATCATATCAGAATGGATTTTTAAATGATTTTTATTCTTAGACTCCATCTGCAATTGAAACACGGAAAACTATATATAATAATGTTATGGAACAGAATGTGACTATCATAAACCTTGACAATGTAAAAAAAAAAAAGTCTAATAAAGAAATGAGAGGCAGATGAGTAAAGAAAAAAGAGAGTATGCCATTTTCTTGTCTATCAGAGCAGAGAGTCAATAGCATCTGCCTGAATTTGATAAATACAGAAATGAAGGCTTACTGTTTTACTTGCAGTTATAAACTATACCGCAAAGGAACTAAAATAAGATATCTAATAATCCTGGTTGGGAAAAGCAGGCAGCATTACAGATATACTAACATCCTTATTCTCCTATCATTGATAAATCAAGAAACAAAGGTATAAGCAAATTATTTTGGGTTCTATGACAGAGAATCTTGCAATAGGGACTTCTGGGAAGTGGAACTGAGGGAGCAATTTGGGACGGAGTGTGACATTTATTTTATTTGTATTTATTTTACATATTTTATATTTATTGTGTTATTTTTATTTTATACTTTTCTGTATTGCCTAATTTTATGTTCATTAATTATGTCTATAATTAAAAATCAGTTGAGCAAGATGGCAACAAGAGAGACAGGGATCGTAGGAGCTAGTATGCTCCATGAACTTGAATTTCTTTCTGATTTCCTGGTTACTAGACTGGTAGACTAAGAAAACTCATTTCTGCTAGGTCCCAAACTCTATTCTAAGAATTGGGGGTGTGGCCGCAACCTTTAAAAAGAAAAATAAACTAAAAAACTGTCCTCATGAAACTTGCATCCTAGTGTAGGGCAGTGGTCGGCAAACTCATTAGTCAACAGAGCCAAATAGCAAAGGTACAACGATTGAAATTTCTTTTGAGAGCCAAATTTTTTAAACTTAAACTATATAAGTAGGTACATTGTTATTAACTTAATTAGGGTACTCCTAAGCTGGCCTTTGCTAAAAACGTTCTCAATCTGAGGGGTCGACCTCAGCGAACATACCCCCACTTCTTCTAACGCCACTTCTTCAAAATAGACTCGCCCAGGCCGAAAACCGACTTCTGCGCATGGGCCACGAAGTTTCAATCGCATTGTACATGCACGTCCGCCCAAGAGCCAGCCGCATGTGGCTTGTGAGCCGCGGTTTGCCGACCACTATCCTAGGGCATAAGTTCTAGAGCAGTGGTTCTCAACCTTTGGGTCGCGACCCCTTTGGGGGTAGAATGATCCTTTCACAGGGGTCACCTAAGACCATCAGAAAACACATATATAATTACACATTGTTTTTGTGATTAATCACTATGCTTTAATTATGTTCAATTTGTAACAATGAAAATACATCCTGCATATCAGATATTTACATTACGATTCAAAACAGTAGCAAAATTACAGTTATGAAGTAGCAACGAAAATAATTTTATGGTTGGGGGTCACCACAACATGAGGAACTGTATTAAAGGGTCGCGGCATTAGGAAGGTTGAGAACCACTGTTCTAGAGAAACTTTCATTAGGGAAAAGTCAAGGGCTGCCTGGACATGGGGAATGAGGCATGGCAGTCTTAGATTGGGGGTCAGGTTTGGCCTCACTGATAAACTTCCTAAAGGCATGAAAGGGATAAGAGTGGTCATGTGGTTACCTGGGGGGAAATACTCCAGACAGAACAGCCAGTGCAAAGGCCCTGGGGCAGGAGTTACCCAGGAAGTTCTAGGAACAACAAGGAGGCCAGAGTGGCTGGAGTGGAGGAAGCAAAAGGCAGTGCTGTAGGGAATGATAGGAGAGACATAAGAGGGTAGGGGCAGAACACACAGGCCTAACTGGCTCTTTGAAGGGTTTTATTTTTTCTTCTGAACAAGATGGCAAGAGAAAACCCTGAGACATAGAAGAGCACAGTGCTTCTGAAACGAATATGTACTTGCATATCTGGGGACCACATGAGAATGCGGATTCTGATTCATAGGCTTGAGGTGGGCACTGAGATGCTCCCGCTTTTACAAGCTCCCTGGTGATAAATTGCTGCTGGTCTGAGGACCACACTGTGAGTAGCGAGGGTCGCTCACCAAGCAGGAATAATAAGCCTCATAGACAGCTTTTGGTACAGAGGGACAAGCTGCTCTGAAAAATCTCTGAGCACTGGAAAACTGACTCATATGGTTGGATATGCCATGAGGAGCTGAGGTACTCAGGCCAACAACCACTTGAGTGAGCTTGGAAAAGAACCAAGCCTCCTTATCAAGCCAAATCAGACCCCTTGATTGCAGCCTGTGAGAGACCTTGAGCCAGAAGACCCAGCTAAACTGCACCCAGAGTCTAGACCGAGACACTGTGAAATAATCAGTGTTTGCGTTTGTAACTGCTACATTTTAGAGTAATTTGTCACACAGCAATAGGTAACTGATACACCATGAAAATTTCCTTTTAAATATATGAGGCATTTCTAATTCTCTATACTGCATTATCAAGCATATTCCTAACAGCAAGCACTTCATTTTCACGACGCATCGATGACAACCAAATCTTCTGTATAGAAATTTACATACCTGATGACTGAAAGAATTTTCCACAGACCAGCTTTGGGCTCTATACATTTTTTTGTTTCTTTGTTAATCCTCAGGATATTTTTTCCATAGCTTTTTTTCACAAATAGTGGAAGGGAGGGAAGGAAGAAGGAAAGGAGAGAGAGAGAGAGAGACATCGACTGGTTGCATGTGCCCTGACTGGGGCTGAGGATCGAACCTGTAACCAGGACTCAACCCCACAACCCTTTGGTGCTCAGGCTGACCTCTATCCATTTAGCCACACTGGCTAGGGCTGGCTCTATACACTTAAAAACCTAGTCCCTTCTCCCTTACTCAGATATTTCATATCAAATTCCTAACTCTAGCCCTGCTCCTTCATGTCCTAAAACATGGTGAATGAACAAGGGGGCAGGAGGAGTTTCCCTGGGATGCAGCGGTTTGATGGAGTTGGTTCATCTTGGCTCACAAGAACTGATTGTTAGCTTTCCAGGAGTTTTGAGAGGCAGTTGTTAAACATAGACATTATTTATTAAGAATTACATAATATAAACTTACAAGTAAATAAATAATACTAAAAACACAAATAATAAATACTCGAAACCCATCATTTCCCAATGATTTCCACCACAATTTGCCATTTCTCTGCTCTTGGGATTATTTATATCTACTGTGTTTATATGATGCAAATAGTATAAAATGGTGTATAGTTTTCCCAGCTCCGTAGGCAGTGATGTCACACTGACAGCTTGAAATAGGCTTCGGTGGAGTATTTACTCCACAGAAATCTGCAAACGCTACCAATCCAGTCGCTAAATAGCTAGCCATAGCATAAATATACACAGGTCTGACCACAACCTTTATAAATAGGTCCCCAAAAGCCAAACCAAATGAAACCCCAACTTAATTTTCTGTTAACTGGAGGCCAGCATGCCTGTGGCTACTCCTGCATCCCTCAGCAGAGGGAGAGTGTAATGCAAAGGAAGTCACAGGGAAAGAGACAGCAGTGTTAACCAATTGCATGTAAAATATCTTTTGCAAATTTTTAGCAAACAAAATCACCTGAACATCTTGCTAGGGCCCCACTCGACATTGGAAGAAGCTCCAGCAAGTCAGGGGTCCTGAAACTTAAGCTTCATTAGCTTCATTAGTCCACCTTTGCTCTAGAACTTTCTGGGTATTTCCATAGCCCCTCAACAGCTGCAGGCTAGGGAACCTGGGGTGGGGACAGTGAGGGCACTTGCATCTGACGTGTTTCTCCTGTCCTCTGTGCCAGTGCTACTCGGGTGGGCTCTCCATACACACACCCAAGGACTTCACACTTTCCTGTCTTCCTACCTGAAAGCAACTGCCCGTGTGGCTTGTCCTTCTTATTCTTAGGTGCCAATCTGTATCATTCTGCTGCAGCTGCCACAACCAAGTACCATAGGCCGGGAGTCTTTAACAACAGAAATTTACTCACACTTCTGGAGGCTAGATGTCCAAGATCAAGGTGTTGGCAGGTTTGGTTTCTTCTGAGGCCTCTTTTCTTGGCCTGGAGACGACGGCCCTCTCTCGGCCTCTTCCTGCCCCTCTGCGCACAGGTGCCCTGGGTGTCAATCTGCGTGTTTAAATGTCCTCTTCTTGTAAGGACAGGTTGGGTTAGAGCCTAACCCCGAAGACCCTGATATAACTGAGTCATCTCTTTAGAGACCTCATCTCCAAATACAGTCACATTCTGAGGCACGGGGGTTAGGGCTTCAGCAGACACTGCCCTTCCTGAAGACACCAAGCTGCAGCCTCTTGTCCCGGCATCGACAGTCAACAAAACTGCTGAGGAAGGACCTCAATTACCAAAATGGAAAATACCGCAGTAAGTATTCTATCTTTTCTTATTTATTTTATTTTTCAACTACAGTTGGCATTCAATATTATTTTATATTAAGTTCAGGTATATAGCATATTGTTCAGAAAATTGTATAATTTACAAAGTCTTACCCCCACCCCCATGAATCTAGTACCCAGCTGGCTCCGTACATAGTTATTGGCTGTATTCCCTATGCTGAACTTGACATCCCCGTGACTATAGCAGTAAATATTTTATTTACTTATTTATTTATTTATTTATTTATTTATTTATTTATTTATTTTTATTTCAGAGAGGAAGGGAGAGGGAGAGAGAGACAGAAACACCAATAATGAGAGAGAATCATTGATTGGCTGCCTCCTGCACAACTGCCACTGGGAATCAATCCTGAAATCCGGGCATGTGCCCTGACTGTGAATCAAACTGTGACCTCCTGGTTCATAGGTCGACATTCAACCACTGAGCCACTCCAGTTGGGCAATAACAGTAAATATTTTTAAAACTACCATCCTGTAACAGAATGATCCAGTAGACATTCATAGAGAATAGGGATCAGAATGATGGCTTCAGGGAGGCAGGTTTTAGCTTGGTATGAAAGTACGTACTGTACAGAAGCTATACTGCTTGGTACCCAAAGGCCCTCCATCACCAGAACCCAGCTGTCAGAGAGAGGTGCCCAAGCAGAAGCTGAAAAACTAGTCTGAGGGTGTTCACACACCAGAAAAGGTATGGAACTAAATGATTTTCAAGACTCTACTAACCTCACAATCTCCAATTTTTTCACAACCAGATGACAATCACGCCACTATTTAGCAAATCTTCTATTTTAAAAATGTAGAGCAAGTTACAATTCAAAACATACTTCATAACTTTGAGCTATTGCTAACTAATTTTCCTTTAAAATTTTATCTGGAAAAGTTCTGAAATGGTTGAGAGGCAAAACAAAAACAAAAATTCCCCAAGCTCCAAGATTTGAAATTCAAAAAATAATGTTCCAGATCTTAGCATGAAATAATCCAAAACAGGGAATATAATTTTCACATCTCTCGGAAAAATACTGAGTCATATTGCCCACCCACAGCTTACAAAAATAACAGAAATCCAATGATTCAAGCAAGATACACTCTGCCATTGTCTGCAGCGAACATTTGAGTCATTCAGGAAAATGAGGAGCGCTCTTGTCAGCGACAAAAGTTTAAATTACATGTCCCCAGGAGACTTTTACAATGAGGCCTTCTTCCCAGCCCCAAACATACCTTTCCCTCACATCCTAGAATACCTTCAGGTCAGAAACTGCCATGAGAACAAGTAGGCGGACAGAGCACGGCCACAAGTTCAGGGACCAAGGATTAGGACCCAAGGAACAAGGCCAAGCAGCCTGGGACCAAGAGCAGGAAATGCTTCCGGGAAACCCTCATGACTCACAGGGCGGAAGGAGGCCACACTTGTTCACCCTCTGAGTTCCCTGCATCTCCCAGACTTTCTCTCCTTTCTGGACTCAGAAGCAGCAGGCGAGCCCTTCACCGGTGATTATACAACCCTGGCCCTCCCTCCTCTGGCCAACCCTGTCTGTGCCTCACCCCACTTCTTTGCTTGCGCAGCCTTCTCTCCAGCTCCCCATTAACCCCTTGCTTCCCTGTATGCTGCCTAGCCGTGTCTGATGGCAGTAACTGCTCAAGGAATGTCTGATGTGGAGAAAATGACAACAAAACCAGAAGCAATTCTAAACAAGTTGCCTCCCACACATGCTCCAACTAGGGGCATCGAACCTGCAACAGGTTTGTGCCCTTGACTGGGAATAGTGGTTAGAGTGCAAGCCAACACTCTAACCACTGAGCCACTGCTCTCGCCCACTTTCTGGTTTGCAGATGGATGCCTTATTGCTGTGTCCTCACATGGCAGAGAGAGAAATCGTCTAGTGCAGTGGTCGGCAAACTCATTAGTCAACAGAGCCAAATATCAACAGTACTTCTTCAAAATAGACTCGCCCAGGCCGAAAACAGACTTCTGTGCATGGGCCACGAAGTTTCAATCGCACTGTACGTGCGCCCGCACGTGGTATTTTGTGGAAGAGCCACACTCAAGGGGCCAAAAAGCCGCATGTGGCTTGAGAGCCGCAGTTTGCCGACATCGGGTCTAGTGTCTCTTCTTTTGAGGCACTAATCCCATCATGGGGGTCCACCCTCATGAGTTAATCACCTTCCAAAGCCCCTCCTCCAAACACCATCACATCGGGGATTAGGGCTTCAACATATGAATTAGGGGGGACACAAACATTCAGTCCAAAGCAAATGTTTTCATAGAAACATCTAGAAATATCTGGGTATTCTGGCCTACCCAGGCTGACATAAAATTAACTATGATAGTCTCCCTAAACTCACATCAGCTCCCTCAACTCAGACACCACTGGGCTCATCTGGGTCTCGCCCCCCTCCCCCCAACCCCCCTGCTCACTGCAGATTGAAACTCTCTCCAGGTAGTCATCTGGGGGGACTTCATGGTATCCCTCCCTTGTTTATATTCTTTCAGATATCACTGTCTTGTATTGCATGTTGTACAATGTCTGAAAACTGTACTTACCGGTATACATTTTGCCTGGTTTTAGGTGCGAAGATAATCCTGCTCCTTGGGCAGAAATCTATCTCTACACCATGCTATAAAGAGTGCTTTGTTCATAAGTAATTGATTGCGTTATAAAAGAGTATTTTTATTTTCTGGTTTTAAAATTAATCTGCTTATCACAGAAAATGTTTTAACTAAGAAAAATACAAAGAAAAAACCAGTTCACACCTTGGGCTGTATAATTATCCTCTCTCATGAATATATTATTCTCTTTCTGAATACATTTGTATTTTTATTATTATTACTATTAGTATTAACTCAGTAAACACGTTTGAATGCATACCAGCGAATTGGTGCTAAAGAGTCAAGGACCACACACAGACTCTCAGAGAATCCATCCCCTTTACTCCTAAGAGAGCAGCCAGCCGCTGCTGGGCAGGGAGGTGCGGCTGCTTACCAAGGCCTTCTTCAGGAGGCCGCTGGAGGAGTCTGCACAAGCAGAGTCTGAATACAGGGCCCAAACCCCATCAGCTTTTGTTTGTTTGTTTGTTTGTTTGTTTGTTTGTTTGTTTTTTGTTAATCCTTGCCTGACAATATTTTTCCACTGATTTATTTTTTATTTTTTTAGAAAGAGTGAAAGGGAAGGGAAAGACAGAGAGAAAAAAACATCGATGTGAGGGAGATACATCAATTGGCTGCCTCCTGCACACGCCTCCACCGGGGCTGGGAATCGAGCCTGAACCGAGGAACGTGCTCTTGACTGGAATCGAACCCAGAACCCTCAGTCCACAGGCCGATGCTCTATCCACTGAGCCAAAATGGCGAAGGCACGATCAGCTTTTGAGGTGTGAGTTGCCCTAAGTTGGCAGGCACCAAAGTTCTCTTTCCAGAACAAAAATTACTCCCATCCAGGGAAAGAAGGGAGAGAGGGCTAGTGAGTCTAGTCTGAAATAACTGATGGGAGGTGGGGAGACCAAACCTGAGAGGTCACAGGTGCTCAGCCCTCTGAGGCGACACCCCACTACACCATGTGGAGGAAGGGACATCCCAAGTCTTTTGACTTCGTGGATAAAATGCCCTTCCCTCCCTCCTCCTGGTGCCCTGCTCACAGACAGCAGACCATGAGCGCTGCTTGGAATGGTGAGTGGAATGTATGAACACGATAATAGCAGGGCTCTGAGAAGCAAACCTTGTTTCTGGAAAGCTCTGCCTCTCTGTGATGGTTTCACCTCAGCCAGCATTTTGTTGGCTCTGCCCACAGGATCCGGGTGTTCTGCACTCGCTCCCAGGAGCAGGGTCCAATGGATTGGCTCACGAATGCAGAGGTTTTCATCACCCTTTCAGTTTTCAATGTCTGACCCTCAACCTTTGTTCAGGGAACCAGGCTGGTGTCCTTTGACTCCTGCCTTGACCTCTGACCTCTCAATTGCTTTTGGTGGCTGTCTGGGAGTATTGGGGGGTTGGAGACTGGGGGAGGAAGGACGTTCAAGAGTCTACCAAGCAAAAATAGAAGAAATTCCCTTTTGATGAGAATCCAAAAGAAACCTTAAAATATATAGCAACAGGAGAGAGAGAGAGAGAGAGAGAGAGAGAGAGAGAGAGAGAGAGAGAGATCCTATTTTTCCTACATTAAACACTGGTGACTCTGAGGCTGAAGATAGCCAAGTGTCATAACACATAAGCTCAGCCAAACACAGGCAAGCATCTTCTACGGCAATAATATCTCAGTCCCCATTGACAGAGTTTAAGCAAGCGCCCCTTTCCCCTCTTTTTCATCTCGGTCATGGAAGGTAGGCAGGATGCTATGGTAGCTGAGAGCACAGGTGCCAAGAGTTACACACCAGAGTTTGCATCCTGGCCCTACCACCTAACACCATGAGCAAGACCGCCGTGCACAAGGTGGGGCTGAGTTTCTTAGCACCAGCCTCAGGAAACGGTGATGACGATTCAGTGAGGTCAGAGGTAAAGGGAAGGTCCCTGGTACTTAGTCAATCTCACTAAATCTGAGCTATTATTATTCTATTTTCCAGAACTTTCTCCTCGCATGCTCCTTTAATGATTTCGTTTTATTTTAAACAAATTATGAGGGTAGAGTGGTAGATTGTTACGAAAAGTTGAAGACATGGTAAAGCCAACTTTTCTAGAAAATAAATGAATGGGGAAACTTGAGGGAATGAGAAATATATTCAATGGAAAAGATGCGTAAGTGCCCTTTAAAAGAATGAAATCACTTTGATGTTAGGGAACATTAAATTGTACTACGTGCAACTTTCTCGTGGAATTTTTATATAATAACTCTAAGAGCAGAGCTCCCCCAAGCATTACCTATAAATCTATCAGTTCACTTTAAGGTTACATGTTTTGAATTCTTGTTGTGAATGGTGCTACAAGATGCTGAAGGAATCCAAGCTGTCAGTTTTTGCCTCTTATGAGAACAGACAAAATCTAAGAAGTGGGGCAGAAAGTCAGCCTTAGAGTAAAACAAAGAAAGTCATTATGTTCCCTGCACTCAGTGAGCGCCTCCGTGTCAGAAAGATACAGAAGCCCTGGTTTCCAGAAGAGGAGCCGAGAATAAAACCAGCCAGGTTCGCAGAGAACATCTTTTTTCCAGCGCTCTTGCCAGGCTTGTCTTGTGTGCTGCCACTAACACAAATCTCTGCTTTCTTATGTGACCTTTTTTCATCACCTTCAAGGATTTTGGAAGAATCAAGTTTTGTCCAAGCTAGAATAAATTGCCCTACCTTTCCCATGCTAGGTTCTTTCTGGAACAAATATATGTAATTTGTTTGTTCACTCAACAGTATTGACTAACTGCTTCCGATGAGGCAGGCACTGTGCTCAGGGACGTAAAAACACTCGTGGCCTATGAACTTGAGGATTCACAGGCGGGAGAGAGACTTGGAAAGAAGTAAAAGTACTAACGAGCTGCAGGAGCTGTGCCTGCCGTTTGGGAGGAGAACTCTGGGACAGTGCCGATCAGAAGGAGAGGAAGCTAAGTCTCCCCATTAGTGAAAGGGTTAGGAAATCTTTCGGGGTGGGGCCACGTTCGATTCGTTTCAGATGCACTTTCCAGACAAACCTTTTCCTTTTCCGCAGGGTTTGGGAGCCTCTGAGGTCGCCAGAGCCCACGACTTGCAAAGGCCTCGGGGAAACATGGTGGGATATTTTCAGTCTCAGAGTGAGCTGATGTCATCAGTGTATCACTTAGAAATGACTGGCAGAGAGGCTCAGCCTGCCCCTTCATGGCCCCCTCACTGTGTGCCTGGCGGTGAGTTATGCTGGCTCCTTCAGGGAGTTCCCCAAGTTGAACGCCGTGGTCATGCTTACCAAGGACAACCATCCTCACATCTAGAAGCCCTTTGGGCACCTCACATCAAACTTTAAAGAACTTCTTTGCTTTTTGTAAACTCTCTGAGCACATTATCAGGGGACCCCTACGAAGATTCACTATAGAATTTCAGTGTCATTTCTCCCCCAGACATTCTATTCTTTGTATCTCTTCCTTTTTTAAAAAAAATATTTTATTGATTTTTTACAGAGAGGAAGGGAGAGGGATAAAGAGTTAGAAACATCGATGAAAGAGAAACATCTATCAGCTGCCTTCTGCACACCCCCAACTGGGGATGTGCCCGCAACCAAGGTACATGGAATAGAACCTGGGACCTTTCAGATCGCAGGCCGACACTCTAGCCACAGAGCCAAACCGGTCAGGGCTGTATCTCTTCTTGAAGATGGCACCTACTCAAGTGGCTTTTATAGGGATGACAAAAGGTCACAGCTGAGAGATGAGTTAGTATAAGGAAGGGTGTGAGGGGAGCAGGAGTCCAGGTGGAAGGGAGGTGAGCAGACAGGCAGGGGTCAAGGTCAAAGGAGACAGCAAGCTATGAACCTCAGAGCCGGCTGCTGGGGGCACAGAGCAAGGAGCCAGTGTGAGCCAGGGTGGGGACAGGCAGTCGGGCCCCGTCAATGCCCTCCTCCCTGTGTACACCAGGTCCTGATGCCAGGGCCCTCCTCTGACTTCTAGAAGCATATCTCATCTGTACCAGCTTTCCAGATGGAGGGACTGAGGGATGAATAGGTGTCTCGGTCCCCAGGCAAACAGACCGAGACAGACCCCCGCACACAGGAAGTTCACTGGGAATCCCAGGTTCAATCGCTGATGGGGCGTGAAGGGAGCAGCTCAGGCAGAGCCAGAGGCTGAGCGGTGTTGTGGCCACAACAAAGGCCTCAGCAACCCCGTGGGGAGCTCAGGAGCTGGGACTGCCCTTCAGAGTAAAAAGGGAGGCCCTACCCTGACACTGACCAGTTACTGGGTGTGGGCTTTCCCGGGGGAAAGAAGGTGACCTGGAGCAAGGAAGGTAAATTCCGGAAAAGAGACTCAGCTTGGAGCCGTCAGCCACCGTCCCAGCAGCTCCCACAGAAGGCACTTCTGAGGGGTGTGATGACATGACCCATGAGCAGCCATTGCCTGTACTTGTCATTCTGTCTCTGCACTGGATGGCAGTCACTGCCCTGTGGGGAGACTCGTCCTTCCCTAAGTGTCCCCCACCGGGCCTTGCCTGTTACGGAACTCCAGGCAGGATAACCGATCGCAACGACCATACCTACCCGTCAAGTCCCTGCTACCGGGACACCAGCCACAATAAATGGGCCTGCAGAGGACTGTCGTCTTGGCTTGGGGTCCCCCCTCTTCCTAGAGCACTGAGGGTCATTGGTGCCTCTCAGAACCTCAACTCCTGCTGATCCAGAAACATAAGCACAGTGGGGCTCAGAGTGCATCGCCTGGGAACGTAGTGGAAATGCCCATTCTAGGGCCCCGGCCCGGAACTGCAGAATCGGAAACTGCAGGGGTGAGGCCCTGCGACGCGTGTGGGGGCAGGGCACAGCCTGTGACACGTGTCGCTGCCAGGGAAGGACAAGAACAGCAAGGACAGGGTATCAAGGGCCAGTGTGTCCATCTGAGGACAAAGGGAGTCCACCCTGGCCCAGGGCACAGGGAAGAAGCCAGGCAGGCCCTGGCACAGGCCTGATGCCACCTGAGATGAAGCATAACAAAGTTGTAAGAGCTCTTTGTTGGCATCCTGCCTACTGTTCTGTCGGTTCTAACTTAGGTCCCTGGGCTGGTTTTCATTTCCTCCTGGCAGCTAAAGGGTGGGGCGCTGGGTGCTACTTCCTTGGCTGAGAAGAAACAACAGCTTCTGCCCAAGCCACACCCTCTGTGTGTGTGGGGGGGGGGGGGGGACGGGGCTGCCGCTGCAGAGGGCGGGGCTGGCTGGGGTGCTCTGCCCCCCCCCCCCATGTTCTGGTTCACTCTGACAGCACCACCCAGCCTTGCGAGAGAATAGTAGTGGCTCCCTCAGAGCTGGTTTCATTTCTGCAACTGCTCACACAGCTGGTTTATACTGAAACCTGTGCACGCTCCGGACACGGAAGACGGAGCCCTATGTGACAGGTGCGGTGAGCGCAGTTAGCGAGCACGTTCACTCACCTGACAGGGCTATGTTCTGTGCTAGGGACTCTGAGCGCAGGGAGGGCTGCGAGGAACCCCAGGAGGAGGCGGGAAGGAAGGACAGGCCTGGGGGCCAGGAGAAGGGGTGAGGCGAGGGGGTGGGGCATGAACATGCAGGACCAGAGGCAGGGTGGAGGCAGGGAGACCAGAGAGAAAACCATCCCCACTGGAGCAGAGGGCGCTGCAAACTGGGCTGCCATGGCCCAGGCAGCCTGGGCGCCTCCTCCACGGGCTGCCAGGCAACAGACAGGATGCCCAGTTCATCTGGAATTTAATTTTTAGTATAAGTATGGCCCAAATATTTCAATCCCTTTTGTTCTAAAATAGTATCCCTTGTTTATCAGAAACTCAAATTGAACTGAGCATCTTGCATTTTTATCTGCTAAGTCAGGCACACCTACTCCCCAGGTGTGGAAGTTAGAGTTTATAGTCCCTCACTTGCTCCTCAATAGTATCTTATGAGGTATTTCTACCATCGCCATCATGCCCATTTTACAGGTGAGAAAACTGAGTCATAGGGCTGACCACAGCCACATGACTAGTGAGTCTGTTTCCATAGCCTGTGAACACCTCACCTCCAGGGTACCTGACAGAGTTTGCAGTCCGTCAGACCTCGATTCACAGTCTGGCTCTGCCACTGACTAGGAAATGGCCTAGTAACCATGACCTTTGGTAAGTCATTTAACCTCTCAGACCTCAGTTTTCTCACAACAATTCCTGCCTTACAGTGTTTTATGAGAATTAAGTGAGGAAATTGAGCAAGTGGGAAGTACCCAATAAATAGTACTTTGATGAATATGGTGATGATGGTGGTGGTGGTAATGGGGAGCCTTGAAACTCCTTAAGAGGAGCCACATATGATATTACAGAAAATGAGGAACCATGGGCAGGCGCCTTGTCATGCTTGCCTCCCGCCTATACCTGGCCTGCCCAGGTCTCTAACTGATCTCCCTGCTCTCTACCTATAGGCCCTGAGTTCCCCCCACCCCCCACCCCCCAACTATGTCACAGGCTTCGTGCCCAGAACTCCCAGGTGCCTGAGTCCAGAGGCCCTTGTTGCTGGTGGCAGGGCCTCACTGCCTGCACATGTAGCTCACGTTCCTGACCATAAGCAGCCCAGGCCTCCCTGGCTGGCAGCCCCTCCAGTCACTGCCCAGATGTGTGTGCCTCCTTCCCAGGTCTTGCTGCATCAGGCAGAAAATCCAACAGGCAGAGCCTTTTAGGCCCATCTGCAACCACGTATGACAATAGGTTTCCCTCCCTGTTATACAACTCAGCCTAATTCCGACCGGTGGCACGCATGCTCCGAAGTCCTTGACTCTACATATCTAGCGAGTAAGATAAGACAGAAAATGACTGGTGATTTGGTTCAGTTGCAGTCATTTCCTGCCTCCTCAGGACAAGTTGGGTCTAGAGATTCGTTCCTGGCCCCTCAGCTTCCACGAAAGGCCCCTCCCTGGTCTGCTTAGCAACAGGCATTCCGACCAGCTGCCTCACCTTCTCCACCTGCATTAGGTGTCCCAGGTGCTGGGATCCAGCCTTCGGCAGTATCTCAGCCCGGGACCGTGACTGTTTGCATGCTTACCCTTTGCTATGTTTTACTCTCCGTGCATCACATAGGTTTCAGTTGTAGGAAATACACTAAAAATGTCATGGCCAGGTGTCTGGCTGGAACTCTCTCTGAGGCTGAAACAGCTGTGACCCTGTCCTCCAGGTCGCCCTCCGACTCCAGCTCCCAGTCTGACCTCTGCGACCCTCGCTCCCCGTCGGACACAGCAGAGAAAGTGAGAAGATTCCTGCTCTCCTGGGGCCAATAATATTTTTGACCCAGATGCCAACCATGTGGTCATTCCCAGTCCCTATTTAACTCACTTTTTCAAAAAAATAAAAAATATTTTTATTGAATTTATTGGGATTACATTGGTTCATAAAATGGTATAGGTTTCAAATGTGCAATTCCCTAATACATCACCTAATGTTGTATTGAGTGCTCACCACCCAAAGTCTAGCCTCCCTTTGCCCTTTTGACTTGCAGAACCAATGGCCCCTGGCGCCGACTGCTCACCGGGCTCTGGTCCTGTGCTCTCCTGTCTACACTGACACCCATCTCTGGTCTCCTCGGTTCCCGTGCCCCTCACCTACATGGCCAATGTGAGAGTCTAGCCTTCCTCAGACCTTCCCAGCTCTGTGCTGAGTCTTTCCCCAAGACTCTCAGCCACCGACCCTGCCACACTGGCAATATCCGGCCGGCGGCCGGCCATCTGGCCCTCATAAACCATCCCGGCTCCATGCTGAGCTGCACCACAGACTGGCTCTTGGTTCCCTAGGAAACTGTAGGCTGCACTGGCTGCTAAGTCAATGGAGGGTTTCGGCCATGTGGCTGGCTGGCCACCGGGGCAGAAGCCTTGCTGATGCTGATTGTTTTCTTACCTGGCACTTCCCCTTCCCGAGCTCTGGAGCCCAACCCTATCTGAGTCACCTGGGCCTGGAAACCTGTTCCTCTGTAGTCATTTGTACCTTGGAAACCCAGTTCTTCTGGGTCATGGGCACCTTGGCCATCTGATGAGTACCCTGCCTTAATTAAGGCTTTGGACTCTGCAATGTTTCATCTTGTTCCTAGTGTTCCTCCTGGATGTCCTAGCCCACGAGAACTGGCCACCCTGTCCCTACAGCCCACGTCTCTGAGTCACAGAGTCTCGGTTATTTTCCCGAGATCAACAAAACCCTGCAGCTATGTCAGCATCCTGTTCCCACCCCCCCCCCCACGCCCACCCCCACCAATCCATTCACAAGTGTTTATGGAGCTTGTTGTGTCCTAGAGCCAGATAATGTGCTAATTCAGGTTTCCCAACCAGGAATGGGTAAGGCCCGGTTCCAGGACTAGAGGAGTCACAGTCCAGTGGAAGTTGTCGAAGTAGATCTAATCCATTGCAACAGTGCGAACAGTGTCACAGGAGGGTTGGGGCAAGTCCAAGGTCCTGGGGAGCACCTGGGTAGGGCATGCCATGCCCAGGAGTGCAGGGAATGTCTTCTACAGCACATGATATGGAGTCTAAGCTGAATTCTGAATGGCAGCAAGAGCTGGTGAATGGGTGTGAGCAGGGGGTGGCATTCCAGATCTCATGCCCAAGGGGAGAGCAGCTCAAACTGGAAACTAAAAACACCCACATGACCCAGGCAGCTGGAGAGGTCAACAGGGCCTGACCTTGAAGAAGGAGTTGGTTGGTGTCCTGAGGCGGGTGGAAAGCTCACTCTGCCATCACAATGGAGAATGAGTTAGAGGGAAGGCCAGGTCCTGGGCAGGAAGAGGTGACTATGGCAGGATTCCAAGCATACAAAGGTAATGGCCTGAACCAAGGGAGTTGTAGAAAATATTGGGAACATAAGATCAATGGGACTTCGTGGCTGATTGTGCATGTGGTGTGAAGGGAAAGGGGAGTTGAGAATGACACCCAGGAGTCCAGGATGATAAAGGATGGGAGCGAGGTGATGCTACGAACTGTCATCAGGGGACAGAGGAGGAAGGGCAGGCTCATGGGGGTGAAGGAATGGGAGACAAGGACCTGGAAGAGGAGCGGTGCTGAGGTTAAGGTGGCTACGGGACGTCCTGCGAGGGAGCTGTGTCTCCAGGAGTCGTCTTGGCCAAAGACGGAGGACTGAGAGTAACCGAAGCCATGAACACTTTCAGGGAGAGCAGAAGGCTGACTATGGAGCCTGAGAAAACATCAGCATTTAGAGACAGACTGAAATTGACACAGTCCAAAGTATCTCCCCGACATGATACCTATTTCTTAATTATGACCAAAATGCAACTTTACCAGGACAAAACCTGGCCGACAACAGCTTCACCAAGCGATCCAAATGAACACTGCAGGTAAGGGGTCACCTGGACACCATGTGCCTCCTGACACGATGCACTGAGAGGGACACAGCATCACCCAGGAATGTTCCTGCCCACAATGCACCCTCTGAGGCTAATCACGAGGGAGCATCAGCCAAACCACACTGACGGGCAGTCTATAACATCATGGGCCTGTGCCTTTAAAGCGTCAAGGTCATGAAAGGCAAAGAAGGGCTAAGAAACTGCTCTGGGTGAAAGGATACTAAGGAACAAGCATAATAACTAAAGAATTAAATGTGTCATCTCAGATTAGATCCTGGACCAGGAAAAATATAAAAGCCTTTTTTATTCCTTTGCTACCATTACTTTGTGACAATTAGCAACATTGAACATAAAGGTTATGAATGCACAATAGGAGCCGCCAGGGGCCGTGTTCCAGACCAATGGAATGAAGCCAATACTTCAATAAAGCGTAATACTTTTCCTGGTGAAGGGTCTTGCTTTCAATTTGTAAAAAACTCAACCCCCTGCAAAGAGCAATAAAGCGGAGCACAATAAAGCGAGGTCTGCCTGCACCGTGTCAGCATCGTCCTAATTTTGATCTAGTTTTCATCATCGTACTATGTAAGAAAATGCCTTTTTTAGGAAACACTAATTATTTTATTTATTTATTTTTGTTGTTAATCCTCACCTGAGGATATTTTTCCATTGATTTTTTTTTTGTTTTGTTTTGTTTTGAGACAGAGAGGGGAAGGGAAAGGGAAAGAGAGAGAAAGAAAGAGAAACATCAATGTGAGAGAGACACACCAATTGGTCGCCTCCCACACGTGTCCCAACTGGGGCTGGAGATCAAACCTGCAAACCAGGTACTTGCTCTTGGCCAGGAATCAAACCTGCAACCCTTCGAAGTGCAGACCCATGCTCTAACCACTTAGCAACACTGGCCAGGGCTATGAAATGCTAATTTAAAGGAGAATTATGTCTAGACTTCACTGGTTCTGGAATAAAGTAAGTCAGATAGGTGGATGATGGGTAGATAAAGACAAAGCAAATACGATAAAATGTTGACATTGGGGAATCTGCATGCAGGGGTAGTAGAATTCTTTTTAGCATCCTTTCCAACTTTTCTGGAAGTCTGATATTGTTTTGAGGCATATATTACACAGAGTTAAAGCTGACTTGCTAGTTGTTCCTCTAAGAATTCCAACTTCCACCGGTCCCCTTCCCCTCCCCTTCGCAATCTAACGATGCCTTCGAGTAGCATTCTTTTTCTAAATTGTGGTTTAAAAAAACATACAACATTAACCTTATCCTAATCACTTTAAAAGTGTATAATTCAGTAGTGGTAAGTATATTTACGTTGTTGTGCAACAGAGCTCTATAAATCTGAAGCTGTTTTAAAATAAAAGTTTGTTTAAAAGAAAGATAGAAGAGGAGGAGACGGAAAGAAGAGGCACGGGGGTGGCAGGAAAATCTGGAGACTGTGATGTGATGACGGCCCAGGGCAGTCGGGCAGTCGTCTGGGGGTGGAGGGGTCAACAGGCCACATCATGAAGGGAGAGACAAGACAAGTCTGCCACACCCCGCAGACTCTAATAACAGTAGCTTTAACAAGAATTGGTTTCACCCAGTGCCACTGGATGAGTGGGGCCCTTGGAAATCAGAGAGAGCTGGGCAGCCCCCCAGGAGTGGGGCTGAGACGGCCGAAGGAATGGGGATGGGAGCAGTTTGGGAGGAAAAGAAACAGCAGGAGTTGAAAGACGTACACATACCCGTATTCTCTCTGAGGTGGGACGGGTCCTCGGAAATAGTGAGGAACACACTGCACGTCACGTGTTGCTTAGACCTACACGCTGAACTCTCCTCTGTTAGAGTGAAGGCTGACCTCAGGAAGCCAAAGGAACGAGGGAGGTTCAGGCCACAGATTTGGTGGAGAGATTTGGCACAAACCGGCTCACAGGGAGCCAGCAGGGCATAGATGGGGAGAAAAGCCAGGCAGCTGTGTAGACAACGAGGCCAAGGTTCTTGTCTGTAAAGGAGGAAGGACATAGTGGAAATGAAGGTAAGGAGGCAATTCCAGCAAAGAGAGAGAAAACAATGGAGATTTAGGGGAGAAAGTGAATGATGGCGGTGGGATTCGGTTGACCTTGCACGCACACCATAAAGCACACCAAGCCCATGGAACAGGGCTCTGCCCAGGCCCCGCTCGGGGAAGTGCCCAGAGTCCCAACACCATCATTTTTATCCTGAGCCTTGGGAATCCTTAACCTCTAGGTGGTGTGGGACCCTCTGAAGAGCGCATGACATTGAGGTAGACTAACATGTCCTCAGAGCCCACTAAGCTTCACATACTTGATTACATTTAATTCTCACAGCAGCCCTCAGAGTGGGCCTTATCATCCCCATTTTACAGATGAGCAAACTGAGGCTCAGAGAGACCGAGTAACAAACAGCAAATCGCAGAGCAAGGAAACAAGCTGGATCTTATTCTGAAGTTCATTTTCTCTTCACTCCAGCCCTGAGGACATATATTCTAGTATCCTTGAGTCTAGAAAATTATGTCTGAGTAGCTACAAAATCACAAAAGTATGACCAAGCCTTTTTTCTGACACCTCCCTGGATTTTCAGAATTATAGAAACGTGTCCCTCTGTCTCCTGAACCACAGAACCCTGAGCCTACATAACCTGTCCTATTTGCTTCTCTCAGAAACTTTCCACCATCGCTCCTGAAGTTTCTCCCCTGGCCATGGAGCACCGAGGTACGTAACAAACCAGATAAAAAGGATCAGATCTGGCTTGGGTCCTCTCCCGTCTCAGCTCGAGTTGTTCCTGTTGACTTCCGCGGTGCCTCCAGGTACGTCATGGAACACAGCTGAGCAGCCATATAGGTCTGACTTTGTGTTTTTTTAATGAAGATACTGAAGCTCACAGAAGTAAAGGGACC